CAAAGGCTCCTCCTTGGCCAGTGTGTACCTTACAGTATCATCCCACTGCCTCCCAAGGTGGGCAGAATAAATGTTGAAAGCACTTTCCATGCACTGTACCCTGCTGAAATGCGGCACCCTGGACAAAATCACACATGGCCAAATCCTAATTTCACTGATGCTGGTCCCGATTTACACAGGCAGAACATGAATGGCTGGATCCGAGGGTCCCTGCGGTGCTGTGTGAGGACGAGCCCATCATCTCTGCTCCAGCACACGATCTCTCAACAAAACCCTGCTTCTCCTCCAGCCCGGAGCAAAACAAAGGGCAAAAAGTTGGAATATACACAGGTGAGAGGAAAAAAACCAAACAAACCAACCCTGCTCTCATCACCGTGGACAAAATTCTGTTGTTGCAAACCTACCGAAGCCCTTTTCCGCAGCTGCGTCCTACCAAAAGACAGCACTGGAAAGGGGAGGGGAAAAATCCAAACCCAACACCTCAGACCGAAACCAAGCAGCAGACAGAGCACCTGGGATGCAGTTCATCGGCAGATCTCCTTCCCCACTGCAGCCCGGGAGTGGCAGGAGCGGAGGTGAGGAAGGTCCCAGCCGGCATTGGCGAGAGGTCGTTCCCCATGCTCCCGCACGGTGCCAAGGGGAGGCTCCCGGCGGCACCCCAGGTATCTGGGCGGTGCTGCCACGGCCGCCCGCGCCCTCCGCCAGCAACCTCTCCCTGCCCGCAGCCTCCTGACTCACACACGGCTCTGCCCTCGCTCCTCCGACTCCCCTGTGCTGCAGGAACAGCCTCCAGCAAACCCGGCTGCGAGACACTGGCGCTCCTCTGGGGAGCCTTGCCCAGCGATGAGGCAGCCAGGCAAAGCCTCCGGGCAGGTGTCAGCTCAGCCCACTCCCACCCACTGCTCCTGGCAGGAGCAGAAAACAGGGCTGAACCCGCACTACCAGCAGGGAGGGATCTCTGCTGCCCTGAGTTGCTGCCTGTCCATAAAACGCCCCAGCAGGTACACGGTGTGCTCCCTCTAGCCATGAAGGAGGAAGTCCCGGAGACCCCTCTGAGATGGTATCAGAGCATTTCTCTTCTCAGCGGTAAAGCAGGTCAGCAGGGCACAGCGAGGTGACAGCAGCTGGGTGACATCTCATCCCCCATGCTGGCATCTCTCCCAGTGCCCTGGGACACGGCCACCAAGCTACACTGGCAGCATGCAGCCCAAAATGGACAATTTTCTCCTTGCCCTAGTAAAGGGAGGAGGAAAACCTGAGTGGGAAAAAAGGAAGAGAGAAGGTGCCTCTCTGGTAGAAGCTCCAAGCACTGGAGCAGGGACTGGAGCCTTGTTCCTCCAGCTGCCTGACCAAGCTGGTAGGGCAGCCTGCACTGATCATCCTGCTCCCCTGGGACAGGACTCAGCTTCCCAAGAGTTAGGAGAACCAGGCACACTAAGCAGTCTCCTCGAACAGGACTGTCTCCCTCTCCAGGCAGCATGGAAGTTGCAAAGCAGACTCTCATTGAGGATTTTCCCCTTCTGGCACATCCTATGCAAAAACCTCCTGATTCTTCCGTGGGGGTCAAAAGCGGTTTGAAACCAGCAGGGATCAAGCTGGAATCTATGTGGGAAGTGCAAGGGATTCCCATCATTAATGGCCAGCCCTCCATGCCATGGCAAACCCAAGCCTCTCTTCAAGGCAGGGATCTGCAGCCAGCATGGCACAATGATTTCATGCCATGCAGAGTGTTTTCCCCAGGGCTGCACTTTGGAAAACACAGTGGAGCAAGAAGAGCTGACATCCTTCCAGCTTTGTCTCCAGATGGCTCTCCCACTTAGTGCCAAGAGAAATGAAAAACAATGCAAGCCCTGGAGTCTTGGGTCAACCACTGCAAAACTGTAAATCCCAGAGTTGCATCGCCCCATCTCTGCTATTTCATTTGCCACTGTGGTCTCCAGAAGCTCAGCAGATGAGTCTTCTCCTTCCAGCTGAAATTCCTTCATTAATTACCTCAAGATCCCTGGAAAAGGGAGCCCAAATCCATATCCCCTTTTATCTGCTGACGTAGATGTAAAAGTACCTGACAGGGAGGGAGAAAAACTGCTCATTCACACTCCAAAGATCGTTCTTCAGATATGCAACAGGAGAGGTGATGGAGAAATCAGTGTATTGCACATGGGCTCAACCAACAGCCACAGTGGTCCATGCAAACAGCACTTTCCACCCATGTCTCCTTAGAGCAACAAACTGACTTTGCTCTAGAGAGGGATTTTTGCAGCAAATTTTATTCTGACTCTTCCACAGTCTCCCTCCAAAGAAAAAAATTCCTACCACCAGCTATAAAAATGCTCTCTGGCCAATCCGCAGAGTTTCTAATGCAGTTTTCTTCTGTACAGTCTCTCCCAATGCAGGATTTTCCAACATTAAAAAAGGAAATCAGAGAGAAGAATGGAAAAACTAATGGGAAGAAGATAAAATGAGGAAAGGAGACAAAAATATCATTTTTGCCCTCTCAATATGGTTTAAAAAAATCACAAAAAACCTGAAGACAAGGAAGTCACTCTTAAAAAGTAAAATGAAACTACAAAATTGTCCACAGGACATTTTCTACAGGACTACCTGGCACTGTTTATAATTTCCTTGCACCTATTCATGGCACTGAAAGTCCTTATTTGTGTAAAGGAGAAGTGAGGGTATATATATTTGAAGAAAGAAATTGATGAAAATAAGATGAAGACTGGAGGAAAGAAGAATTGCATTTTCCTGCTGCTGAACCCAAAATGGTCGCTCCTTGGCGGGCAAGGCTCTGAACCCCATTACATTTTCCTTGGTTTTACAGGTAAAAGGTTTCCAGCACAGTCAAGCACTATTTTTTATTTAAGGAGAGCACCAACAAACAGGAGTTCCAGGATGGAATATGCCAACTTCCTAAGCCAGAGCTGATGGGGGTTTGTCCGACCCTGCGAGTGGCACAGCAAACCCTGGGCACTCGGAACACAGCATGCAGAGCCACTCCAGCTTGGCTGGATCAGGCCCACAATAAGCAAGCAGGACCATAACATCTTCATAAAGCAGGATTTAAGTACAAACATCTGCCTTGCCATTTTTTAATTAAGGGAGTTTATAGCTAGATATTCGTTTCCGTAATGCACGGCTCCAGCTGCAGAAATGCCATGCGTATTCTAATTTTGGCAGCCAGTTTATTTAACAGAGTTTGACATTGTTTGACATTTAGCTGAGTCACCTTGTTCCTGGGTAGAGCAACAAGGGCTGTTCAGCAGTTCAACAAGAAAGAGGCAGAGATTCAATATCAAAAGTAGAACATATATCACAGAAATTTTAAATTAAATACAGCTGAGGTCTATTCTGTTCTGGCAGCTTCTCTCTTTGGGACACTAAGTCAACCCAAATGTTTTCCAGATATAACTCTTCCCCTCAAGGACATGTGGCACTACCATCTCCCTCATGTTCCTGGAGGGTGGGAAGGGTAGGAAGTGTTGTAATGGGCATATGGGGTTTATCTCACCCTCTGCAAATATCACGCACACATATATCAGGACATCCAATCTGAGATCTGCACAAAGGCTGAGGAGCAGCCACCTCCAGTCAGCCAACATTTTTCTAGGAGAAAATAAAACAGGCCAGTGACAGTCAATACAGGAGGAACAAATGCTACCTGCAGACAGGATTTTCCTACAGCACCTCATGTGAAACCATCTGCATTCCTGTACAGATCTTGCAAGGACCTCAGAATGCTTTCCAGTAAGAAAAGCAGGCCAGCAGTATCCATTCTTATCACAAAGAGGTTTCATAAGGTGATTTGGCTATGAGTTTGTTGGTGGTACAGCTACAAAGAAAGCCCACTCTTAGACTTTTCCTCATCCCAGATAGGAAATGGATGGCAACATCACCTTCCTCTGGCTACACAGTCTAAGTAGCACAGAACACTGCAGAGAGCAAACCCCAAGCCTGGAACTGCCTTCCACAAGGGCTATGGAGGCTGCCAAGACACTGCCAAGCAGCCTTGCTGCCCTGCTGTGGCTCTGATGCTGGTGTCATGTATTTGTGCTGCTGGTTTTTAATTCCCTACTCCCCAATAACCTTGGAGCTGTGCTCACCACACATCTGGAACAGCTGCTTTGCCTGCAAAGAGCGTTGGGACTGCAGCATGCTCCTGGTGAGGACGAAGCCCTCCCATCCCAGCTTCTCTTCACAGACCTTAAGGGAAGAGCTGGGATCTCCTTTTTATAGAGAGAGACAGAAGAGACCTTTTAACAGGCTGAAAGTACCTCACTTATCCTGGCAGGCAGTGCAGTGAGCCAAGCTTAGAGCCAGCAGCCAGAATGATGCAGCCAGACAACAGGGAGCTGGCCAGAGCCTGCACTGCCACGAGCATGCTGTGGTCTGGCTCATCTCCCCCATGCCATCCCTGCAGCTGCTGCTGGAAGAAGCGATGGAGAAGGGTGTGCTGTTACCCTCAGGACAGCATATCCATCATGTTCACACACTCTGCAAAAGGTGTCAGAGGGACAGTGGCTCAGCACTGCAGAAATCCCTATTTGCTTTTAACCTTCCTTCAGTTTCCTTTCTATTACAGGGGCAACTCCAGCTATTCATTCCTTATTGTACAGGAACAGTGTCTGCAGAGCTACAGCATCCAGAAATGACAGAGATTGACTCTGGTCCCCAGTGGTCTCCCAAATGGTGGCTGGAGCTCAGGCTGCCTGGCTGCACCCCAAAGACACAGCCCCTCAGAAACCATCAAATCCCTTTTTGTAACAGGGCATGAGCCAACCTGAATCTGAACAGCTGATGAAAAACCCCTTGAGAGCCCTAAACACTATGCCAGCTATTTTAGGAGGAGGTGCAGGTCTGGTATCACAAGGCTGGGTGTATGAGCTCCCAAGGAAAAGGCATTTATAAGAATGGTCACAAAAAGTAGCAGAGACAGTAGCCAGGGAACTGTGGTCTCCAGCTGCTCTCAGCCATCTTTTTTAGGGCTTTCCCCACAGCATTACCTGGTAGAAAAGGAATGATTCTTTGCTTGGGATCCTTCTGGCCTCCTTCAATAGGGAACTTGTCCAGAAGCTGCATCTGCAAAGGAAGCACAACAAACATCTTAGGGGGAAACATGGACCATTTGCATAGGGACCAAGGGACCTCTTGGTTTGTGTGTGGCTTAAGACAAAAGCAACTGCAGGAATTACTTTGTTGGAGGGGAGCCTGTACTTAAAAAGGTATGATGCAGTTCACTCCAAGAAAGGGAGGGCAAGTTTCTGGCAGCACAAAGGAGCTGGGATAGGGCCCAGGCAGACAGCTGAGCCTGGCCTTGCTGTCATTCTAAAATTAGGCTCCCAGTTTTTGCTACACACACGCCTTGTCTCTAATACACTGTCTGCCTGTGCTGGTGTAGCAACAGGTTTTACCTGTCCATCTGACAGACCACTCTCCTGGCTAAAAATGCTGTTCAAACAACCAGATTAAAGCATATCTAATAGAACATCTGCTCTGCTTTTATGGCAGTGCCAGAAAGACCCACTGCCCTGGTCCAGTACGAAAGAGCTCCTGTTCTCCCAGGGACACAGAGATGGGGTTTTGGGGAATATCTTCCATTGCAGTCCCTATATGGAGGACAGCAGGCAAGGAGGCCTCAGAGAGCCAAGCATCCCACAGAACACCAGCCCCATGAATGGACTGAAAGCACAGCTCAAGGTGGGTGTGCTCCCAGCCCAGTAGCCTTTAGCACATGGTTTCCTAGCCTAGGAAAGCTGCATGCTGATCTGACATTCCTAAAGGAGCTGTATGATGAGACCTGATGGACCAGTGCCACTGAGGCTGAAGAGCAGCTGAAAGGCCTCAAGAAGATGCACCTGCTCTAGTGACACCTTCATGGACTTGCCCAAAGAAGACCAACTCCAGCCCTGAAAAATGCCAGAGCCTCTCATCTCTCCCATTCACTCTCTGCAATCTTTTGCTCTCATTCAGCAGTGGTGCTACCAAGACAGAGACCCAAATCTTCACATTCTGTCTCATTTCTCCCTGTATTTCCTATGCATGATGTCTCTATGCTACCCAGTGTCCCCTCCCTACTCAGAAGCCCTGGCTCCCTCGGGCAGGGGGAACTCAAAAGCTCCTGCCAGCCCCAGGGCTCCTTTCCAACAGACCAGGAGAGACATCTTTCAACTCACAGTCCACATCTCCTGTGATCTCTGAGGAAGGCAAGGAAGGAAAAGCAAGCAGTGGTGTTACTTGCCCTTGCAGAACCCTTATCTCCTCACCTCAACAGGATCTACAGCTCAACACAAATAGGCAAAGTGGCAGCAGGAGCTGGGGGAAGGGAGGGGACCCTCATCAATCAGCATTTAATCTCATCAGTGCTACGTGCCCAACAGGGAGGCTGTACAAGTTAAAAGGGTTTTGCTAGCTCGACAGATTTCCTTTTAAAAATATTTTTTTGCTAACTTGGGGAAAAACAGACAGAATTTTTTTTTTATTATTTTTTACTGGTTTTGTTTTAAGCAGGCAGAATCCTTCTCGTCTTCCACTGCACACAACATCTCCAGCGCTTTCACCATATGGCACAGCAAACCAAAGATCAAGAGGAAACTCGGCAGTAGAAGCAACATCTGTGCAGAAGAAGGACTTAAAAGATCCCACATGTTTCCCCATCAGGGAGTCAGCCTGGTAAATAAATAGACCATGGCTTTGCGGATTGTTAGCTAACTCGCTTTTCTGCCTACAGAGACAGATTTTTTATTGAAAATGGGAAATTTTGTTTTCTTGTAGGTAGAACTCTGGATGTCTGAGGTCAGGCATGGGCAGGAGCTTCTTTCAAAGAAGAGGGGGAAAAAAAAGAAGGGGAGGGAATCCCCACCTACTGACTTCAAGTTTCACTGCTGCTACACTTTTAGCCAGGAAGGCAATTCTCACTTGACTACGTGGTGACTGATTGAAGCTGGAACTGATACAGTCAAATTCCCAGGGTTATTCTTGGAGTTAGATTAGCTTGGCTAATACAAGACTTTTTAACCACATCAAGAGAGCCACAATGTGTATAACTCAGTGCTATTTATCTAAAGGGTGGATATCAGCAAAATAGATACAATAAACTGAAGCTGGAAGAGTTTGGCTAAACTTTCCTAGACTACACTTTCCACCCCAGCTCTTGCCTCCACTGGGAAGGTCTGGGGGAGGCAGGGGCACTCCAGAAGCCATGGAACCTTCAGGATGTTAAAGTCAAAAAAAGTGCAGCAGAAGCAGGGAGCCTTCCTCAGCACTTCTCTGCACCCAGTTCTGCCATTCAAAGCCAGTGCAAGTTAGAGCTAAAGTCCTAGAAAAGCAGGATTCTGTGTCCTCCCACCCACAGAGAGAGATGCAAAGTGGAAGATGAGGACAAGATGTATACAGGAGAAAAAAAGCATCAGTGGACTCGAATTAAACATCCCAAATCTTCCAAAGACGATGGAGCGTCCCGAGCCAATGCCTCACATCCCCACTCAGCCCAGCTATGGTAAGAGGAGACAAAGGGAGTAGCTGGGAATTTAAAAAGTTAAGGGCTGAACTACCAAAACTCCTCTTGGTAGGCACAGCCCTTCCCTCACATGATTAACAGACAAAGACCAATAAACAGATTTTCAGTTCTCTTAACTAGATGTCTGCAGAGCATCTGAAAGTCAAAACCTCTTTTGTCTGTGACAAATGTTTTTCCATTAAAGGAAATTATTCTTGTTATAACTGCAAATACACATATGATTGATGGAAGAAACCCTTCAGTTAATGCCCCAGGTTATTCTGCTCAGACATGGGCAGTCTCCACAAGTTGTTGCTCACATCTTTGATGTGTGACAGTTAACTTAGGGACAAAGTTTGCTAAATCAGAAAGCAATTCTGTCGCCTGGAGTAAAATCATCCCAGTATGAAGGCAAAGAAGGGAAGATACAGAGCCCCAAGGAACTGGATTAGGGATGTAGCTGGCTTTGAACAGACAGGAAAACACAGCTGAGCAGTGCATTTTGGCAAAACTGGAGGAGCTCAGTTCATCTGCTTACAACAAGGAGGAGCCTCCAATTTCATGACTGGTGTAGTGAGCAGAAAGAAACACATTACCATGTCCCTGTACCACAGGGTGGAGGATCCCTTTGCAAACAGGGAGGGTATATGGAAACCAGGAAGTGAGCTTTCCATCCATTCAGGCAGCAGGTCTGGAGTCAGGCTGAACAAACACACCCCACTCTCACTTGTGGCACAACAGATGCATGAATAACTCACCACCAAAACTGCCTCTCCAGTCTTTGCCTCTCCAGAGTGCTCTGGGTTTGCTGACATCTTTCCTGCTGAAGTCCTGCACAGTCCTGCCTCCTGTTCCAAGCACCTTCCTTCTTGCTTCTGACTAAAACTCCTTTAGAAGACCTGCTATAAAACCCTGTGGTCCAGATTATGACTTTCTTGCAGAGGTCACCAAATGATCACCAATTAATCTCATTAAAAATCAATGGAATTACTCATGTGAGTTGCTGCTCATTAAAAAGAGAGCAGACTCAAGAGCACTGGCCTGCTCCACTCCTTTCTGTTTGTACATAAGCATGAAATCACTTGACTTGCAAGAATAAAATAGGAAATTTCAAAGTGTCAACTCAGCCACTTCCCCAGGCACCTTCCTTCTCATGTCTTCTGCTTCAGGCCATCTTTAGTTAAAATGCAAACATATAATGAAGAAAGAGCCTCTCCTGCACACAAGAACCATTTGGGTTTGCTACATAACAGCATCTTTGGTTATTTCACATGAACTTGGCTGTGAAAATAAGATTCCACCCCTGTCTTCCTTGCAATGGTAATGCCTGGTTAAAAAACTTAACAAAGAAAAACAAGCACCCTACAAGATGCTACAGGTAGCATCTCTGAGGATGAGAAGCCAAGCAGCTTCCTGATAATTTACTTACTACATTTTACCTATCTTGGTTAAATTTTCATGAAACAACATTTATTTCTGCTGCACACATAAGGACTTACAGCACCCAAGACTAAGAGGCAACTCTGCTACAAGCCAACCAGTGCAGGGGACACGAACATTTAAACTGTTCAATGGCTTGACCCTGTGGCATTTGCCAGTGGGAACTTTGTTCCTGGTTTGGTTTTGAGGTTTTGCAAGTTGGAGTCCAAATCCGGCTCCCTAAAATTAATCCACTGAGACAGCTACCTGACCTCCACCTATGCCTTATACCACAGACTGTAGATGGGCTGTTGGCTCCTCACCTTCCTTCCTTGCAGCAGTTTTAATTCCTCTGGTTAGAAGAATTAAGTTCTCCTCTTAAAATGAGCAAAGGAGGACACCTGCATAACCTGTTAGTGTGGAAATCTTTCTGGTTCCTTTTCAGGTGGATGCAGGTTTGCCATGTGCACAGATAAAAATCAAAGCTCTGCAGGAGGTCAGCACTGCAGTTAAGGGGACATTTATTTATAAGAGGCACATCAGCTTCCCTTTTTCCAAGTGCTCATCAGAAAACGCATTTTTCATTAAAAATGAGGTAACCTGACAATAACCTTAATTTAGACAGTGATGGACTTGAAAGCTAAAGTATTAGAGGACAGTCAGGCATCAGGGACATCCCTTCTCACAAGGCTGATCTGACCTTCGAGTCCCAAGGAGGGAAGAAGGGCTACAGCCAACTGGGAGACAAGGAAGAGGAGAGGAGGCATTTGTGCTTGTATGGGGTTGTGTGCACACTTCTGAGAGAGTCTGCCAAAGAAACTGGAAGAAAAGCAAAGATTCTGCCAGGGATCTGAAACTAGTGATGATGGAACTCACACCTCAGCAAGAAGGGTTAAGGGCATCTGCAAATCAGAAAAAACTGAAAGTCTCTGATGCAGATAACACAAGTTTAGATGAGAAGGAAAGGTAAGATACCAGAATAGGAGCTATTAATTAAACCCCTGAGGAGCTGCAGTAATTTCCTTTCATTTTGAAGCTGGAAACCAGCTGTGCTGCTTGCTGAGGGGATTGATGGTTTCAGCATCATCAGCTATATTTTGAATTATAAACCATGTGATCTGCAAGAAAGGGAATGGCCAGGATGGGTTTGAATTCTGTCATCTGC